CCACCTTTATTAAGCCTTTTCTCCAGAAACTAACTTAACATAATAATTACATATTGCACGCATTTAAAAACAATGAAATAAGGCAGTACAACAGTTTAAGAATATAAGCTTGTAATATGTTTATCCTTCTTAAAACATTATCAGGATCAAAAACTTTTTGTAACCTAAATATCTACGACGTTATGTCTCTATCTCAATCTATGAAAGTTGTTTTCTGCCTATATTCTGAACCCCAGGTTTATATATAAAATGTGTTAATTGAGTGTTGAGCAAACTAGCTAGGTAAAAAATATCCAACTTACAAATTTACAATCCTACTTTTTAAATGGTTACAACAACGTTTCTGTCCCATTCTTTTATAAAATGTGTCACTTGCTGAAATGTTGAAATTAATAAAGAGCCGTTTTCAGCACATTGTGAACATTACACATACAGTATGTTGCATATAAGTTTTTTGTGTGTTGTTTTGAGTGTATTTGTTGTTTTCTGCCCAAAATAATATCTGCATAATTCATTTTTTAGATTCAATTATAAATGCATTAAGGTATACGATGGATAATCGATAATATTAAAAAGTCGTCTTAAACTTAGAAGTGTATACTTTATCACATTCTTAACAAAAATACAGAAAACAACAAATGTTTACCATACGTGTGCTTGCTACACCATGGCAGCTCTCGAAAATTTTGGAATTCAGTCTCGGTTTTGGGAAAATTCTATAAGACGATTATCACATCATTTGAAAGACATTACAATTCCGGGTACCCTCCAATAAATTACCAGGATATCTTAATGTAACAGCAAAGTTATCTATAAAATATTACTTGTAATAAATCGAGTAATATTTTCATTGACCATATATAAAAGTCACGTGGGTTGGCTACATAATAGAGGTGTTAAAATATAATTGTAATACACCCTTTGTTAGCCATTGAAATAGTATTTAATGTATAAAAGACTTTCAAAAATGGTTATTATTCAGAGCGGGCGCTTTGGTGCAGTGGTAACACTGTCTGCCTTCAAATCAAGGGGTCGTGAGTTCGATCCCCCGCTACTCCACTGAACGAATAAATGACTACAAGACTGACAAAACCAGGACATCAACACAGAATGACGGCAAGAGAAGACCTTAACGGAACAGGAAACAAGTACCGAAAGTACAAGACTGAAGACAGCGACCGATAACAGAATGAAGAATGGAGACAAGAACTGACAACAAGCGAACAGAGACAAGGATCGATAACAAAAGGACTGACAACAAGAGAACAGGACGTCGATTAATAACAGAAGAACAGTGACAGGGACCGATGATACAAAAACTGCCAACAAGCGAACAGAGACATCAACCAATAACAGAAAAACAGACACAGGGACCGATAATAGAAAAACTGACAACAAGCGAACAGAGACAGGGACCGATAACAGAAGAACTGAAGAACTGACAACATGGGAACAGAGACGTCGATTAATAACAGAAGAACTGACAACAAGCGAACAGTGACGTACTGACAACAAGCGAACAGAAACAGGGAGAGATAACTGAAAAACTGACAACAAGCTAACCGAGACAGGGACCGATAACAGAATAACATCGACGGAGACTAATTCCAGAAGAATGAAGACGAAGATCGATAACAGAGACAGAAGAATTGACAACAAGAAAACGAGACCAAGACTGCTTACAGAGGAATAGAGACGAGAACCGATGACAAAAAACGTAGACGAAGACCAGAACAGAAGAACAAAGACGACGACCGAGAACAAAGACGAGAAATCGTAACATCTGACAAAAGAACTGCGACGAGGACCGATAACAGAAGAACGAAGTCGACGACCGATAACAGAAAAACGAACACCAGAACCCAAGAGAAAGGTGCCTTTAATTAATGTGTATTCTGCATGCATACATACGCAAGTAAGTAGGAATCTGAGTAGCCACTCTATATGCTTGCATAGAGTGCCAGATAAAAACATGAAAGCTCTATATCTAGCAGATAGGGCAGGGAAGAGTTTAGTGTTCGCTGCGTTAACCCTACATATATGTCTCTTATGTTTTAATGCCTTAAAATTTTCAGCATATATATAACTTCTATATTACTATTATATTGGCCTATAGAAAAATGTCCGCCTATCTTGGATTATTCGGCCATATTGGATTGTTTTGTTGTTGTTTTTTTAATTCTGTTTTGTTGTCTAATTTGTTTTTACCTAAACATGCTTTGTGACAAATTTCAGGCTTTTCCTTGTTTTATTTCATATATTATCTATTTATGATAAAGAAATTTGGCGGCCATTTAAGTGGTCATTTTAAATGGCCATTTCAATGGTAAAGATCAAGTTTTTCAATTCGGTATCCACCTTTCTCGGATTCAGCATACCTTAAATAGGTAAAATACACCAAGGACACCACTTGTACTATAAAATGCCTCTAGCATCTTATAGGGAGCCAAATTCTCAAAATCAGTCCTGTCTAGTAAATATACTTGTAAACGAATTTTTCAAACTCATTTCGGGCTACCTCACCGATCGTCGATAATCCGAAGTATGACGGAAAGGCACGAAAAGTTGCAATGGTCATTACCTCGTGACAGTACGGAATATTTCTTGACGTCATATACTAGTATGTCATGAAATAAGCGCCGCAATGACTAAGGATTACAAAAAAGATCACTATTACAGTCATGAGTAAAATCAAAGTGCTGAAAGCACTGGGTGCGACGGACATGAAAAGGGAATTGCATAAATGCTGTCAAAAAAGGACCAATGTTTTTTTTATTATTTACAAAGGGCAGCAAAATTCTATGCCTGAGTTTTATGGAGCTTGGATAGAAACTAAAGACATGTAAAGGTCTTCTGTTTTCTGAAAACTGATGTTTAATTTGTATAAATGAATACCACAAGTATATATTTCTTGTCCTAAACATTGATTTTCTTGCATGGTTTTAAATTAAGATTTTTCTAACCTATAAAAAGACTATTACTCTGTTAAAATGATTGTTAGATTTATGGGGTTCAGAGAGTAACCTCCATTTATAATCCTGAAAACATATACAATAAAATAGAAAGAAATAAGCAAGATTCAAAATTGGTTCAAAATTGTCAATTTGTTCTGTCAAAAAAATATGCCAGATTTATTGGATTTGCAAATTTTATTACGGACGATCTCAAAAATATTTGTGAAGTTACAAGTAAATATTTTAATTGTTTATGAAGTTCTATGCTTTATGAGCTGAACGTTGCCCCAAAATCTGTAACCAAAGTGGTATGCCAACGCGGACACTCATGACACCAAAATGAGAAGGATAGCAGGACAGTTGAGCTAATGAGACCTTGCAATATTTTAAATATATTTGTTCCGTGTTTGGTATCACAGAAACTTAATAAGGAAGTAATATTTTCATCAAAAGTCAGGGCATTTATAACAGTGCACACATATTATGCAGAGTATGAAATTTTTCGCCAATCTCTACTGTTTACATTAATATATTCACTTATTCGAAAACCTAAAAATAACTCTATTTAATGGAAGATGCCACTACTACGACTGTTTTAATTTTATTGATTTTCATTATAAACAATTTATTTTTTGAAAAATTTGCAATAGATATAAAAGAAATATTGATAATTTTCAAACACATCAATTATTTTCACCTTAAACGGTAAAGTAATGATAGAAAAATAGAAATATCATCCTATTGTGTTATGTTCATCAATTAGTGCAAATTTCCCGCAGCTAAATCCGTAAAGTGCCGGAATCCGGTGTTTAGCTAGGTTTTCCGAAAGTAAAGGGATATAACTCGGTCGAACCATTTACGTACTTCTACACAGTATACACTAGTTGTTTTAACACATGCGTGATCGTATAATTTACACATTTTTTTGCAAATGAAAGAAATTAATATCTAAACACATTTTACATGAAAATACTGCAGTTTGATGCTTGATCTGATCGTCGATAAACTAGGTCAGATTAATGGGAAAAAGACACTTAATCCCCCGGAGAATTCAAGCCACACCCACCCCTCAAGATACTTCAATATTAAATATTTTTATCGTTTCTAACATCAATTATCGTTCAACAGAAAAAAATAAAAATTGAAAATGGGTCTCAGTCAAATTTCTTAAAAAGATGAGTGAACTGTCTGAGGGTGAAGTGTCTGCAAAATGGCCAAAGTTAAAATGTCTGAGGAGTGACGTGTCTGTACAATATCATTGATAAAAATAGTGCTTCTAAGCGGAGGAATCGTTATTTAGAAAATTATTTCAGTCACCACAAAAAGATATTTTGCCACATATTTTTCACATAAAAGTTACTTCCTAATGTTTTTACTAACATTTTTGCTCTCTATTAAAATGTATTATTACTATTTTCTATATAACTTGTTGTTCTACTTTTTCTGCTTCCGACTTTTATCATTAAGCCGTGTTTGGCTGTACTTCGGATTGGACAAATTAGGTCAAAGTAGTGCAATTATTACGATATTTTCTCGTTCATATGATATTCATTTGTTTATCTTATAAGTCAGATAACTAACGGTCTTTGCAATCAAACTGGAACATAAACGCTTTCCACATATTTCGACATAATGTGTGTGCTTTATATGATTAAATCGTGCACTATTTGTTCGATGTTATTCGGTTCAGGACACTTCTTTGATTGTAGACGTCGAAATTCCCATGTGTAGATGACATAGATCTGAACGCGCCTGAGGGCGCGTCCGTCGCAAAAAACGGAAGACCTACGCGATACATTGCTAAATAATCTGTTCATCAAGGGACGCAACCTGACAATTACTCGTAAATCATTTTTCACAATTGTGTCCCTTTATATAGCAAATAATAAAAAAAAGGTACTGTATGTTTCAATGGACTTTATTAGTAACAATAAAATTCAGAAACATTTTTATGACAATAATATTTTAACAATAAAGTCGATGCCTGAGCAGATAATAATAATAATAATAATAATAATAATAATAATAATAATTAATAATAATAATAATAATAATTATAATAATTTGTAATAATAATAATGATAATAATAGTTTATAATAATATTAATAATAATTTATAATAATAATAATAATAATAATAATAATAAAACACACGATACACGAAAATAACAGGAAAAAACACAAAACAAGACAAAATAAAACAAGACAGGACAAAAACAAACATACAGACATACAAACAAACACAAAAAAACAAACACAATAAACAAACAAACAAACAAACACAAAACAAACAAAAACAAAACAAACACATAAACAAACACACACACGTAGTTTCTTTTTTCTTGCACTCTGAAATAGAGAGAACGGTATTTGGTATTTAACAAAATACTTGCTTTAAAAGAAACGATCGGTTTTATATGCAAGTATTTATTAAATATTTTTAATATTTTTAAAGATCAATTTTTGAATACGCGTAATAAGTAGGAAGGAATGCGATCCTAAAAAGCTCAGAGTATAGCAGTTACCGAGCAGTTCAACTATATACCCCTTGATCTTTAGATCTAGAGCGGGGGTAGAATCCTAATTCACGTCACTATGATAACTGCATATGACATACATGTACAAAGAAAGTTTAAATTTTAGCTTTAATTTTAAAATTTATCATAAATAACATTTTTATACTCAGAATAATATTGCAAAAAGCATAACGGAGTTTACATAGAGTAACTTTATCATTTGAAACTATTTCATAATTTGGTTCGAATCTTACCTTACACGCTTACAGGTGGAAGACCGTCATCAATGGCGTCATATCCGGTTATGCCAAATGCTTCTGTAAAAAAAAGATTATTTAATGAGCTCACTGTCTTAATAAGCTCATGTAAGTATGTAAATAAGTGTGGAACAGAGCTTTTTATTCAATGCATAAACTGACAGAAGTTTTTCCCTTGATCGACTCGTCACATAATTTGTTTCATTTTACATAAAAAGTTGCGATGTTATCTTCAACAATTGAACTGTATTCTCTATGGGTAAAAAGAATGGTTTGTCAAAGCAACAAAAATTCTTACCCTTGAATTCTTTGACAGTTCTAGGAGCTCTAATAGCAGATTGGTTGATGTCTGCATCTGTCATAATATTTGTCAAGCTCTCCGTAACAGCCATATCAGCAATTTCTGTCAAATAAAATATTCCATGTAGACTTCAAAGTGTAATACTCACGATTAAACAAGAATAATCTTTACAAAACAATAATTTGCTGTGTTCAACGTGTATCAACCGTTTCTGAGTACCTGTCCGAAAAGTAGGGATAGCAATCAGCCTGTGGACTTTACCGGGTTCTTGTCCGACAAGTACCGGGAATAGGATGGCAAATAGACCGTAAAGTTACCGGAAGTCAAGGAGTGAAGCTGGAAACATTACAACATCATATGGCGTACAATAGTAAACGTTGGATATCAACAATTAAGACTGGCAAAATTTGTGAAGTCGTTATTTGATTGATTGTGATTGGTTAATCAGATTGTTAAGATGTGAACAGCGGAGAGATTTAAGATTTTATATAAAAGGTCCCGCCAAAAGGTAAAAGCCGCCTGTAGCTGTGGTCATTTTTGCCATTACATTGAACTGGCAGTGAGTTGACAGGCAAAATGTTATAACTAGGCTCATTTCCTGCGCCTTGCTTAATACGGACGTTGTTAAGCAACTATATAACTTACGGCTGATGATACTGGAGGACAATGAACTGTTGTCGTCTGCCCGCTTCACGGTTACGGTCGTTGAATTGCTAGGCAACTCCTGTCTCAGTGTGTCGGCTGCCTTGTTAATGATGCGTGTTACGAATTCTTCAACTGAAAAAAAAAATCTTTACACTTTATCTAATGAATTTTATACATAGCGTCACATATTACGACATTACCTAAAGGCACAGTATGTCTCCGTAAATAAATACATATATTCTTCTTTAAAAAATGACAAACATCATTTTATAATGTAGTAATAATGGAATAATGGATCTAGAGCAGGTAAGATGCTTACCACCAGGGTAGTCAGTCTGGTGTATTGACTTCAATAAATGATACTTACTCACTGTAACTTTAATAATTGCAAAAAATGTAAAGAAGCAGTCTTTAAAAAAACTGTAAAAAACACATAAGAATTAAAAAAGTTTTTGAGAAAAAAAGCATTTTCGGACTAAATCGACTTTTAATAGGAGTAATCGATGTTGTTGTCTTACATAGTATCAGTATGTCTTTGAATTATACTTCCGGATTTAAAGTACATGTACATTCAATTTCGACAATGAACGCAGCATTCAAATACACTTACATGAGTGAAAGTCGATTTTTTTCAGTTTTGTGGCCCAATTCTTAAAATATAATTTTATTTTTTAGAACTTTATAAAAAATATTTACTATAAGTAATGAAACTGTAAACAAATATAGTAGACCAAATACATGAATGTATTTACCAAGTATGTCGTCTGCCATGCTCTCATCGTCTGCTGCGGTCCCTGTCACTGTTGTAATTTTAGAAGCAACAGCCTCGTCTGGAAAAAGGAATGTGTTTCTGGTAGAATTTTATGCAAGATTACAACCTTTTTTTGTTGCTTCTTTTTAATTCGTATTAAAGAATTGACAGAATCAAAGACAGGAAGGCGAAAATGATTCGTAAAAGTTAATTTTGTGCTTTTTTCATCTGTGATAGTTTTCGAAGAACATGTAACAGTAATGGGCTAAGGAAATGTGTGTTTACCAGGGCCTTCTTAATTTTTTTAATTCTTAATATTTCTAGTATTTTTGTATAATCACTCATTTAAGTGTTTTAAATTTTCTGTTGCTTTTTTAATTCTGATTTTTAAAGCAAATACAATGTACAGGTAGCTAATATTTGTGCATAACTGCAGAAAGAAAACACAATGTACAAAATAAATGAATTATGACTATACCATTCTTTGATGACAGATTTTCAGGAACGACTTTGGTTGACTTGCTGGCAATCTTACAGACGACCATGTCGGCAGTACCTGTTTCATTTAACAGGGTTTCTGGGTCAAGAGTCTTGCCTCTTCTTGTAATAATATCTTTGGCGCATGCGGTTTCGAAATCTTGCAAACTGTAAAAGAGACAATGTTCCTTACAGGTGAAAGGTTTTCGATATTTATTACTTGTAAAAGATTTTCAATGTCCTTTGCTAGTAAAACATTTTCACTGTGCTTTACTGGTGAAACTTTACCCCTGCCATCCTTAATATCATAAATAGACAGGTCTATCGTTCACTTTGGACAAAACCATTCATCATTTTAAGGGATATTTTCAAAAATGTACTTAATGAAAAGCGAATGGTACAGTCTATGATCAGACGACACATATTTACCGACTAATCTTGGTCTGCAGTGATCGTCTGGGTATATTCTGTAGCCGGCTCCAAAAAAAACCTGGCTACTTTCAAATTTGAAAACTCATTTTTTTCTGTTACAAATTGTCCTCGGAAAAATTAACAATACTACATGTATAAGAAGACTTAAATCTTAGAATTATCTTATTATCTATCTATTATTTATTAATTTCATTATTTTATCTTTCATTATTCATCAATCATCTTAAATCATTATCATTATTAAGTTATATTTTAATCATAATAATAACAATAATAATAATGATAAAATAATGATAATAATAATAATAATAATAATTATTATTATTATATTTTTTATTTTTTATTATTATTATTATTATTATTATTATTGTTATATTTTTATTTTTTATATATATTATTACTATTATTATTATTATTATTTTATTATTATTATTATTATTATTATTATTATTATTGTTATTAATAATGAATCCCTTAATTATGCATATAAGTGGTTAAGGTGACTGCCCTTCAACACATGAATCATGGGTCCAAACCCTAATCTGGTAATGACAATGTTTCGTCATATGAAACCAGTATTGGTTGGTTCCAGGAATCGGTGTCGAAAGTGATTAATATAAGTTGCAAGAACTTGTTTCGCAATCAAGCTTAAATGAATATGTTTAAACTAATAATGCACAAAAATCACAATCTATTATCTTCATGGAATGTTAAAATGATTGAATGGCTACTCACTCTTTCGTTGCAAGATTTCTTTAAACTTATGAGCCAAACGAAACAGCCTCGATTTTCACTAGCCATTAATGTTCCATGTTTTAATGATTAATTAACAGCTGGTTTTATCTTCCGGACGCAATATGACGTTGCTAATGAGAATCGTCAACTTCTTACTGTGACGTCACAACATTGCATGTTTATGCCTACCGTTAAATCCAAACATCACCGAATACTCGGTAACAACTGGATAATTTCAAACATTTGGAATATAAACAGGACTGATTTTAAGAAAATATGAATGCTAGAGGCAATTTATAGTACAAGTAATATCTTGAGTGTTTTAACCTAATATGGGACAGCTGAAGACGATGAGGGTGGATACCAAGAAAATAAAAGGTCAATTTAAAATGGCCGCTTAAAAAAACTAAAATAGGTCATTAAAACTATGATACAATATGATGCAATTAATTTATTGTCAAAATCAAATGATTATTCAATATGATCTGATTTTAATGAGATTGACCTCCAAATATAACGATTATAAGCCTAATGGCTCAATAAACAGTTATTTACAGTACTGTTTTACTAGCGCGTTAAGGTACAAGACTAAGATTGAAAAAAAAAAAACACTTTTTATGTTTTGTTTACTTGACTTATATTTAACAATAAACTTAGTTTCAAATCCTTAATTCTTTGTAAATATTACCAAAGAATAAATATTTCGTAATAACAATTAATATTTCGTAATTACGAAATAATATTTCGTAATAACGAATCAATATTTCGTAATTAAGATTTTATATTTCGTTAAAACGAAATAATATTTCTAATTGGAAATCGTTATCTCGTAAAAACGAATTCAATTCCGGGAGAAAGTGTGGAAAGTTCACTTCAGGTGTTCCGTAATTTTCAAAATTATTTGTAGTTATCATTTTTTTTTAAGTTGTTCATTTTGTTTTCATATATTTTGCACTTATTATGGTATTTATTGTTTAAAATTAATACTGAACGAATATTTTGAAATGTCAAAAATACCATTCCAATGCCTTAAACACAACACAAACCGAGACAAAAAGTGTTTTAAAATATATACTGCACCCCCCCCCCCCCCCCCCCCAAAGAAAAAAAACAAACAAAAAAAACCCAAAAAACAGTAGGAATCCAATCATAGACGTCTCACACATCAGTCAATCACTTAACCGGCTATGCTACTGCGGATAACGTTTACATTTTTAGAAGATATGACTTTCAATAACATTTGTTTTATATTTTTTTATTTTATGCTTTTCAGTTGATTACTGATTTATCCGTGAAAATTATATTTGATAATTACACAGTGAAAATTATCAAAATATAATTTCACACTTCCAATGACGAAAGTACTTTCTTAAGATTATCCCCATGTGGTACCTAAATTTTATTTTTGCTGACAATTCTGACAATGTAAGGCTGTTTAGAGGAAAGCAAAGCTGAAATTGATAAATAACTTAAATGTTAAAAGTAATAAAAAGAAAGAAAACTTACTTCTATTCATCCAAATTACCAATCAGCAAAATAATATCGTCTCTTTAATTTTTTTGTTTCATTTTACAGTCTGAAAAATACATTCCTTCCCACATGCAAAACTGCTCTTGATGACATTTGGGCATATTTCCTACGAGCAATAACTGCCGTATGCTTTATGAAAACTTGAAAAGCAATGACAGCCATCAGCCCGAAGAATAAGTAAACAACCATCGTTCGTAAGGCAGCCTTTCAACAATTCCAAGTTTCTAATTTCCTAGCCACTTTTTAAACACATCTGTCAACACTTATTCATTGTCTGTTACAATCCTCAAATAAGTTTTCTTTCTTTTAAAAAGGTGTATGACTAACAAATCCAAATGATATCCCTCTGAATCAAACATAATTATTTTCCTCCCGTGAAATACACAACTTTTAAAAATGGCCGCCGCTTACATTTAACAGAACTATGTCTAATATACTGTACATTCGCAGTAAGTAACAGAAATATGGATGAATGGTTGGACTTTTTCTCCTACAAAAATGGTTTGTTTTTATTATTAAAATAAGCGATCATTCATATTTTTTTTAATAAAATGAATGATATCATCGCCATTTTACGTTGATTCTCGAACTTATTTTCCGCCCAAAACTTCTTGTATTTTATGAGAAATTCGACAAACACATGTACATAATAGAGGCTACCAGTGGGGAAAGAAGATTTTAATATTAAAGTTAATATCAAGGAAATTTCGTTTTAACTTATTTTTAAGCATAAAATAAAAAGAAAATTGGTTTGTTTGTTGTGTCAGATGTAATTTTATTTCATCTCGTGAACTTCAAAAACAGTATTCTCACTCGTGGCTACGCCACTCGTGGGAATACTGTTTTTAAAACCCACTCGATGAAAATTTCATCTTACACACAAACAAACAAATATCCTCTATATTCTCCATATTAATTCTAACGAAATCGAAGTGGAATGTAATATTTCAATGAATGCTGTATTGTATTCATAATTGACAGGTAAATAAAATAAGACTATACAAAATAAGCAATTAGGCTGCATATGCAAATAAAATATTGTTGTTCCAACATGCAAAAGCGGGATTAAGTATGCGCAAAATCACCACAAAATCTTTTTAAAGGCGACATGTGACACATAATAAATTTATCTATAAAATAAAAGATACCACCTTTATTAAGCCTTTTCTCCAGAAACTAACTAAAGACATAATAATTACATAATTGCACATATTTAAAAAAAATGAAATAAGGCAGTACAAAATTTTAAGAATATAAGCTTGTAATATGTTTATCCTTCTTAAAACATTATCAGGATCAAAAACTTTTGTAACCCAAATATCTACGACGTTATGGCTCTATCTCAATCTATGAAAGTTGTTTTCTGTCTTTATTCTGTACCCCAGGTTTATATATAAAAATGTGTTGAGTGTTGAGCAAACTAGGTAAAAAAGTATCCAACTTACAAATTTACAATCCTACTTTTTAAATGGTTACAACAACGTTTCTGTCCCATTCTTTTATAAAATGTGTCACTTGCTGAAATGTTGAAATTAATAAAGAGCCGTTTTCAGCACATTGTGAACATTACACATGTATGTAGCATATAAGCTTTTTGTGTGTTGTTTTGTTTGTATTTGTTGTTTTCTGCCCAAAATAATATCTGCATAATTCATTTTTAGATTCAATTATAACTGCATTAAGGTATACGATGGATAATCGATAATATTAAAAAGTCATCTTAAACTTAGAAGTGTTTACTTTATCACATTCTTAACAAAAATACAGAAAACAACAAATGTTTACCATCTTGTTTAGAAATAAGTGACGATTTAATTTGAAATTAAAAACAACAATAACGACAATAACAACACCATATTTTCATCGAATCATTAAATGTCTGAAACCTGGAGATTGCTACGTGTGCTTGCTACACCATGACAGCTCTCGAAAATTTTGGAATTCAGTCTCGGTTTTGGGAAAATTCTACAAGAAGATTATCACATCATTTGATAGACATTACAATTCCGAGTACCCTCCAATAAATTACCAGGATATCTTAAAGTAACAGCAATGCTATCTATAAAAATATTACTTAAATCGAGTAATATTTTCTTTGACCATATATAAAAGTCACGTGAGTTGGCTACATAGTAGAGGTGTTAAAATATAATTGTAATACACCCTTTGTTAGCCATTTAAATAGTATTTAATGTATAAAGGACTTTCAAAAATGGTTATTATTCAGAGCGGGCGCTATGGTGCAGTGGTAACGCTGTCTGCCTACAAATCAAGGGGTCGTGAGTTCGATCCCCCGCTACTCCACTGAACTACAAGACTGACAAAACCAGGACATCGACACAGCATGACGGCAACGATAGATACAAGAGAAGACCTTAACGGAACAGGAAACAAGTACCGAAAGTACAAGACCGAAGACGACGACCAATAACAGAAGGAAGAACGGAGTCAAGAACTGACAACAAGCGAACATAGACGAGGACCGATAACAGAAGAACAGTAGAACAGAGACAGGGACCGATAACAGGACAACTGACAACAAGCGAACAGAGACGATAACCGATTACAGAAGAACAGAGACAGGGACCGATAACAGGACAACTGACAACAAGCGAACAGAGACGTGGACCGATAACAGAAGAACAGAGACAGGGACCGAAAACAGAAAACTAACAACAAGCGAACAGAGACAGGGACCGATAACAGAAGAACTGACAACAAAACAACGGAGACAAGAATTAATAACAGAAAAATATACTAGGACCGATCACAGAAGCACCAAGACTGATTACAGAAAAATAGAGACAGGGACCGATAACAGAAGAACAGAGACAGGGACCGATAACAGAAGAACTGACAACAAGCGAACAGAGACGAGGACCGATAACAGAAGAACAGAGACAGGGACCGATTACAGAAGAACTGACAACAAGACAACGGAGACAAGGATTAATAACAGAAAAATAGAGACTAGGACCGATAGATAACAGAATAACAGACGGGAACCGATGACAGAAGAATTAACAAGAAAACGGAGACCAAGACTGATTACAGAAAAATAGAGACGAGAACCGATGACAGAAGAACGCAGAAGAACGAAGACGAGAACCGATTATAGAAGAACGGAGACGACGGCCGATTACAGAAAATCAGGGAAAGGAATGATTACAGAACATCTTACAACAAAATAACTGAGACCAAGACCGATTACAGAAGAACGAAGATCACGATCAATAACAGAAAAACAAGAGAAATGCGACGAGAACTAACAGTAGAACGAAAGTCACGACCGATAACAAAAGAACAAAGACGACGACCGATAACAGAACACCGAACACCAAAACCCAAGTCAAACTCAGAGAAAGGTGCCTTTTATAATGTATTATTTACATGCACACGTTTTAACCCCCCCCCCCCCCACTGTGCAAATATAAGTAGGAATCTGAGTAGCCACTCTATATGCTTGCAATCTAGCAAAAAGTGGAGGGAAGAGTGTAGTGTAAACCCTAAATATAGTGATGGTTCAACGGAGAAATTTCTAGAAATTTTATCTCTTACATTCTAGTCTCTTATGTTTAAATGCCTTAAAATTTTCAGTACTATCTTTAATATTA